ATTTTTCTTTCCTTCGTGTGATTCCCCGCCCCCCCCCTTTTTTCTGCATTATTCCTCTTTCCAACTCCGCTTTTCACTAAATCACAACACTTTAATACAGACTGCTTATTTTTAAAATGTAGAGCATAGAAAGGAAAAACCCCTGTGGTCTCATCTCTCAGATAATATACACTTGAGTCTTATGCTTAAAGACATTTTTACTGCATTTACTCAGATTGTTTTTTATCATTTATAAAAATAGCGTCTGTTTATCACTTTTGGATATATTTCAGTGCCAGAACAAATTCTAACTTGTCCTTTGGGTCAACTACATCGTTGTGGTAGTTGGTGCATTAGCAACTAACTACTGAGCCAAATTACCTGGGTTAGAATTTTAGTGCTACTACGTACTAGCTTTGTAACCTTGTGCATGTTACTTAAACTGCTGTGCCTCAGTTAACTCATATAGAATGGGAATAATGATAGTACTTATCCTATAGAATGATTGCAAGGATTAAATGAGTTAAACTCCTAAAAGGTTTAGAAAAGTACCTGGCCCATAGTAAGCACGCAGTAAGTACTAGCTGGTGTTGTTATTTTTTCCAGACTCCTGGAGTGGCACTATAAGATAGGCATTGGACTAGTAACCGAAAAGTTGGTGGTTCAAACCTAACAGCTGCTTCTAGGGAACCCTAGAACAGGGACGTTCTGAGTTGAACCTACTCCATGGTACTGAACAACAGCATTGGTATTTTATTGAAGTGGTTTTCCTGGTCATTGATTACAATAACAATAGCACCTAACAGTTATTGGGTGCTTGCAAGGCTGGAGGTTTGAGTCTACGCAGAGGCACCCCAGGAAAGGCTTGGCAATCTACTTCTGAAAAACCAAACATTAAAAGCCGTATGGAGAACCATTCTACTCTGACGCACATTAGACTGCCGTGAGTCAGAATGGATCCCACTACAACTGATTGTTTTTCTTGGGCATGCTCAGTAATGATGAATTAAGAGTATAGGACAGACAAGTCTAGTGCCCAGGTTGGAAAACAACAATTTGAATATTATCTTTGCAAAACCAGTAATGCTCTGACCAGAGGTGTCTTCCTCAGCTAACTTGGACCTGCTTGCAAGTATGTTGGTTGCTGTAATGATCATGAAAACAATGAGAGTGTTTTAAATGGATCTACATCCTTCTTCCATGTTTTGCTGCTATTTTAGATGTTGCATTAGAAGACTTCCTGGCACAGCCCTTCCTGCATGTTCGGCTGTGCACATTGTCCTCTTAACAGCCTCTAACATTGTACATTCAGATGTTCACAATTACACTGGCCTGGCCTGGTTGCAGAAATCAGTTCCTTTTGCAAAATGGAAGGAGGAAACTGCCCAGGTGCATATTATAACTTTGATTATGTTTCATTAATGAAACACTTTTTTTTTTTTTTAACTTTATTTCTAAGTTAAATCAAGCTAAAAATTAGAAGATTGTTAAAAGATTGTTCATTTTTCTTAGAAATGAAGAGTATTAAAAACAAAACTGCTAGTGTTAAAATTTAAAAAAGATTGGAGTTTGAATTAATTTTGCTTCTTTTGTTTGAGTGCTTATGAAAAAGACTTGGTAAGTAGCCTCTTCTGAGCCATGCCCACAGGCAGGCCTCGGTCTTGACCTTGGGGACCTTGGGCCACGCCTGCCTGTGCTGTATAGAACAGGTGTTACAAAGCTCTTTTAACTGCTAATTAGTGGTCAGAGGCACCCCATTCTACAGCAAGCCTCCTGTCCAAAGGCTCTCAGCTTTCCCTGGAGAGGGCTGGTCTCCTGGTCCTGTTGCCACCGTGTCCCTCCCACTACTTGTCACTGTGTCTTGCAGTGTCAAGTCTCTCTGTCTCCTGGATTGAGGAGGTTCAGCCCGGGGAGCTCAGTTCAAAGGTCATAGTCCACTCCTAGTTATTCTTTCTTAACAGTAGTGAGATTCTCCTCCTTCCACCTCGGATGGTTTATTTTAGTCCTAGTGGAATTACAAAACTGACCAGTCCCCACATGAGGGGGATTCCATACGTCCTAGTGTGGCGCTGGGGGTTAATGCGACTGACTGCAAAGCCGTTTGAACTGCAAGGTTGGCAGTTCAAGCTCACCAGTGGCTCCTTGGAAACCTGATGCAGGGTCGCTATGGGTAGAAACCAACTTGACACCACTTTACAACAACCTAGATATGACATTGTAGGATAAGCACTGGACTACTGACTGCAGTGGTTCAAATCTACCAGCAGCTCCTTGAAAACCCTACATTGGATCACTATGAGTAGGAACTCACTTGACAGCACTTAATAACAACACTTAGTAATTTTGTGGAAGTTACAAAACTAAAAGGTTATGCTAAGTAATTCACAGCACTGCATATGTGGTCCCTGCTTCCTGGGAGTTCACTGTCTGGTTTGGGAGATAAACACTTGTATAGATGATGTCAGTGTAATGGGGGAGAGGCTTCCACAGTGTTGTGTTTTGTTTTGTTTTAAAGTTTTTAATTGTGAATTATGTGATAGTTTCCATGGGAGAACATTAGCTTTACATTTGTATTTTGTTTCATTGCAGTGATTACAATCCCCTCCATGCATCATCAAACAACCAGAAGGTACACCCTCCAAGGCTACCTCTCAGTTGTCAGCACACAGCTCCTCTCCCTCCCTGTCCATAGTGTTTGGCATGGAGTAATGGAAGCCTCTGGTAGTATAGTGGTTACGAATTGGGCTGTGAACCTTAAGGTCAGCAGTTTGAAACTACCAGCTGTTCCGTGGGAGAAAGATGAGGCTTTCTGCTCCCGTAAAGCCTTGGAAACCCTGTACAGGGTCACTATGAGTCGGAACCGACTCCATGGCACATAACAACAACAACAATGGAAGCCTGGAGTCCCTGAGTGGTAGGTGTAAACCACTTAGACTACTAACCAAAAAGGCTGGTGGTTTGAGCACCTTGAAAGATAGATCTGGTGATCTCTTCTGAAAGGTCACAGCCTTAAAAACCATACAGAGCTAACAGCAAACCGAAAACCTTTTGCCATCTGGCGGATTTCCACTCAGCGACCCTGTAAGAGAGAGTAGAAGTGCCCCACAGAGTTTCCAAGGCTGTAATCTTAATGGGAACAGACCACCACATCTTTCATGGAATGGCTAGTGGGTTTAAACTGCCACCTTTTTGGTTAGCAGTCAGCTGCACCTTAGGGCTCCTTAACAACTAACAACCATAGGTTGTTTTCACTGGCTGAGTTTTGGAACTAGATTTAGATTACCAGGCCTTACTTCCTAGTCTTTGTTAGCTAGAAGCTCCTCTGAAACCTGTCCATCCTGGGTGGCCCTGCTGGAATTTGAAACACTGTGGCATACCTTATAGTATCATAGCAGCACACAAGCTAATACAGTTTGTTAATAATAACAAACTGTCAGAAGGTGGTTTCCCAACAAAGTCTTCAGTGAGACAGATTGACCCAATAGCTGCAACAATGTACTCAAAACGTATTAACAATCATGAAGGTCAGGCAGTGTTTTCTTCTGTTACACTTAAGGTCTGAGACAAGTAATGCTATGGCATTTTCAGTCATCTCATATTCATACAAAGCTGGACGACCCAAGAAGAACTGACACATTTGAATGCTGCTGTTGCTGAAGAATATAGAATAGACCATGGACTGCCAGAAGAACAAACAGATCTGTCTTGGAAGAAGTACAGCCAGTGTGCTCCTTAGAGCGAGACGAGTGAGGGACTTCAGCAAAATGGTGGACCAGGCGAATGCACTATAGGGACCCTCTACAACAAACAGATGAAAGACCAAGTAAAACATACAGATGAAAATTCTGGCACCCTGAACTTTAGAAGAAATGTTAGAGAGGTGGATGGAGTGTTTGCTGGGAGGAGAGGCTGAGCAGGGATGATGAGAGGGAGGCAGGCTGGTGAGTGGCTGGCCATTTGAGGCTTGACCATCTTGTGAGCAGCTTTGGCAGTAGAGGGAGGGCTGGAAGAGCAGATTCTTTTAGGCGACAGGAAGAGTGTGATTTCTTCCTTTTCCCCATGCTTCCATGGTGACCAGAGGTGTGCCCAGCTCCCACCCTCTTCCACCCCCAGTACAAACCCTGCTCTCCAGAGTTGGGAGCCACATGGTTGGGAACCATGCCAGTGTGAGTTGGGGTTGGCTGTGCTGCTTTGGTGTGCCACTTTGGTGCCTGGGTTCAGGTGGGCTCGACTCCAGATCTACAGAACCTGCAGAGCCATCGGACCAGCATTAATCAGTCACCCTGTCCCTAGCTGCCATATGGTTCTAACAGACACTGAAACCAGCTCCATCAAGGGACCCCACACGAACTACTTCCAGATTGAGTGCCCTGAACAAGACAACACCGAGGCCAATAGGAACTCCCTCTAGGACCAGGAACTCTGCTGTCAAATCCCTTCCACAACCACCTTTTCAGCTCCTTGAATTGCAGGAGCCCACCAGACATTTCATTCCTTTGGGGGCAACAAATACACTGTTTTATTTTGTTTTCCTGTTTGCACTGGTTGTCTTTACAAATTCCACAACCCCACAATGCTTCAAGATCAACAGACAATTTTAGCTCACATGAAGAAACAAGAGAGAATGGTCCAAATGATCAAGATACAGGGACAGAAAACATTTCTGAGGAAACAAAGGTAATGGAACTAACTGAAAAAAGAATTCAAAAGAATGATGTTTTGATACCTTCAACCAATTGACAGAAAGATGGAGGAAAGCAAGGCGAACACAGGGAAAACTTTACAAGGATTCAGGAAAACACTACAGAGCCACCGCATTCCTTGGAAACCCTACATAGGTTCGATATTAGTCATAACCGACTTGATGGCACAACTACAGAGAATCTGGAAAGAAGAAAAATATTTGGGATGAAACACTGGGGATCATTAGTATTAACAGATAGAGGAAACAACCTTCATGAAAGAAGAAGACAAAAATTGTGAAGTGGGAGTGGGCCAGAAGTAATCGAGAAGACTGCAGGATGAGTTCAGAGGAAGAGCGTGGTCAGGAGGGTCAAATGTCCTACAAAGACTGCAGAGGTAACTGAAAAAGTGAATCCTATATACCCCTCATTCTTAGTTCACTTTAAGGAACTCTGGTGGCACTGTGGGGTAATCACTGCACTGCTAACTGTAAAAGTTGGCAGTTCAAACCCACCAGCTGCTCTAGGGGAGAAAGATGTGACTGTTCCTGTAAAGCTTTATAGTTGTGGAACCCTAAGGAGCTGTTCTCCTTTGTCCTATGTTGGGTTGCCATGAGTTGGAATTGATTCAGTGGCAGTAGTTAAGTTGACTTTAAATTTTGGAAATTGGGATTGATGTACAATCTATACATTTAATAGAATTTGTTCCCAAGAAGCTTTTACTAAATTGACATTATACACAGTATGTTATAGTCGGGATATCTTAGAAGTGAGAAATGTGATTGGTGACTTTAGTAAACACAATTTTATTCCCAAGATGAGAGCAAAGTAGTAGGTTGTAATAGGTTGAGCAATGAATAGGTATGTTGGATGGAAAACAGTATATATATATATGTGTGTGTGTGTGTGTGTGTGTGTGCATAGACTACATCTACCAGAAGATTGGAGAAGAAGGAAGAGGGTTCCAGTTAGAGAGGCACTCAAGATCAGTGGGTGATTTTCTGTACACAAAAGGACCAAACCTTTGAGCAGATCAAAGTCTTATCTGTGACTTCTTGTGACTTTTCTTGCTGTTGTGTTAGAAAATTAAACTTCACTCTGCCTAAGATGCCTTCATCTGGAGCTCTGCTAAAACCTGTTCACCATGGGTGACCCTACTGCTATTTGGAATATTAGTGTCATAGCTTCCAGTATCAGAGCAAAATGTAAGCCACCATAGCATAAAAACCCCTCCAGAAAGACAGGTGATGGATTATCCACTCTTCAGGTGATGGGTTGTTTCCACATTTTGGATATTATGATAATGCTGCTATGAGTATTTGTGTACAAGTGTTGGGTTTTTTCCTCCCTAAATTTCATTTATTTTGTTATTGTTGAAAGTATACCCAGCAAAGCATATTCAACAGTTTCTACATGTACAATTCTTTGTTGTAAGTGCTACCAAGTCCGGTCCTACTCATAGAGACCTTGAATAGGGTTTCTGAGGAGCGCCTGTTGGTTTTCAACCACCGACCTTGATGTTCAAACTGACCTTGCGATCCATGTACAATTTAGTAAGTGATTATGCTCTTTGAGTTGTATAGCTATTCTTAGCCTCCTTTTCTGGGTTCTTCTTTCATTAACGTAAACTTACTGCTCCCTAAGGTTCCTTTCTAATATTTTGAGTTGTGGTTGTCACTTTGATCCTGCATGTGAGGGGGCTTCAAAAAGTTTGTATAAAATGGACTTAAAAGAGCATGGATTTTTTTCATGAGCTTTTTGAAGCACCCTCGTATATAGTTTCTTTCTTAACTTTTTATTGTGAATTGGACGAAAGTTTATAGTGCAAACTGGGATTCCATTCAGTGATTCAGATGCATTTTGATGCATGATATTCATTTGTAATCCTACAATGTAAAAGCACTCATCCCAGTTCCTCCCCATGTCTACTGCTTTTATTTATGCGTTTCCCCCCCACTTCCTGCTTTCTGAGCTTTATCCCTGGGCAATGGCTATCCCTCTGGACTCATTTCGTTGGTTGAGTTAAAGAGTGAGGTACCTCCTTGTTGTTACTGTTCACCTTATGTTATTGTTGTTAAGTGCTGTTGAGTCAATTCTGACCCACAGTGACCCTGCATAGAGTTTCCTGAGTTGGAGCTGGTGGATTGAACCGCTGACCTTGAGGTTCAAACTGACTTTGCGATTGAGTGCATTATCCTTCAGCACTACACCTGGGACTCCTGTTCACCTTGAGTTGTTGTTGTTAAGTGCCATCAAGTCGGTTCTGACCCATAGCGACCCTGTAGAGGGTTTCCAAGAAGTGACTGTGAGCTTGAACCACCAAACTGGCAGTTCAAACCGACTTTGCAGTCTAGCGCATTAACCCACAGCACCACATCAGGATTCCCTATTTGGCTGAAAGCTGAGTCATGAGAGTTAATTTCAGAATTAGCTCAAGGCTAATTCCTGTGACATGGAATTGCTCCACCCTATGTAATCTTCTTTGGAGCTCTGGTGTGGTGCTGTGGGTTAATGTGCTGGGCTGCAAAGTCACTTTGAACTGCAAGATCAGAGGTTCAAGCTCACCAGCTGCTCCTCGGAAACCCTATACAGGGTTGCTATGGATTGGAACCAACTCTACGGCCCTTACTGAAAACACAATCTTTTTTATCCTATTCTGACACCAACAATCCTTCCCACAGAACTCTACTTCACATCTGGGTTTGTGTGGCCACACAAAAGTCGTAGATAGTACTCATGATTATAAGGAGCTTTGGTAGTGTAGTGTGGTTACATGTCACGTTGCTAATCTCAATCAAGATCAGCATTTCGAAACTGCCAGTGGTTCCGTGGGAGAAAGATGAGGCTTTCTGCTCTGGTAAAGATTTATAGCCTTGATAACTCTATACAGTGTCACTGTGAGTCAGAACCAACTTCACGGCACATCACCACCACCACTTCTCATCATGGGGTTTATTAGGGAATGAACAGGGTATGATTCAGGATTAGAAAGAGTTTAGGATTTTGCCATCCTCCAGTCAGAAACACCTCTTCTCTGCCATTGTGCAGGCACTCCTCACTCTTGTCTTGGGCCTCAACTTGTGACCCCTGGCCTCTGCCCTGCTCTATCAAGTGTTATGAAGCTCCTTTAACCGGTCTGTAAATGCCTAAATGGCGCATTCTGCAAGCCAAGTTCCTGCTCATAGGAACTTGGCTTTACTCAGCCCGTGGTTGTCCTAGATGCTGCTCTAGCTCGCCATGCCAGCACCTCTGCTGCCCTGCTTTTCCAGGTAGGGATTGCATGCTAAACTCATAGACGTCTTTCTTGATGGTCCTGGGATCAATTGTTCATGCTTCTGAGGTGTGGGTCCTTTTCCACCTGGTAAGATGGTAAAACTAACCAATCACAGCATTGGTGTTGTTAAGGCTGTTGACTTTGTGATCCAGTGCTTTATTACACAGTACCACAGCAGGGCTCCAGTCCCAGCATTGTTGTTGTTGTTGTTGTTAAGTGCCGTCGAGTCGGTTCCTACACATAGTGACCCTGTACAGGGTTTCCGAGGGTGTAAATCCTTACGGGAGTAGAAAGCCTTATCTTTCTCCCGCGGAGCGGCTGATAGTTTCGAACCGCTGACCTTAAGGTTCGCAGATTAGAGTCCTATATACCCTATATAGCCTGGTGTGGTGCTGTAGGATAAGTGCTTGACCACAAGGTCGGTGTGAACCATAAGGTCAGTGGTTCAGACTCACCAGCTGTTCCTCAGAAACCCTATACAGGATTGCTATGGGTAGGAACCAACTCAATGGCACTTAAACAACAACAACCCAGTCATTGGAAGAAGATATACTGTACTGAAAACCAGAAAGTATGAAAGATGAAGTCTTGCTATCCTGATTTCTAAGGCACATTCCAGTTATATTTTTTACAAGACAGGTTTCTTTGTTCTTCTGGCAGTCTATGGTACTTCCAGTAGTATTCTCCCGACACCATAATTCAAATGTATCTCCTTTGTAGGTAACTTCATTTTTCTCCAGCTGCTCTCAGCCTTCTTGTGTTTGATTATGAGAGGTTTTGGTTATTTTCTTTTGACATTTATCCTGTTTGGGGTTTGTTCAGCTTCTTGTATGCTTATCTTCTCATCTTTTATGAGGTTATTGAAGTTTTCTTCCAACAACTCTTTGATAGTTTCCTATGTGCTTGTCTCTTCCTGTTCTGGAATTCTGGTCACCCATAAATTGTTCCTCTTCATGGTGTCCCACTTAACTCTTAGTCTTTCTTTGGATTTTTTCATTCTTTTTTTTTAATTATTGTTCTTGTAACATACTAGCATTGAGAAATTTAGCTCACTAATTTGGGCTTCTGTTGCTTTAAATTTGCATTTATTTTGTCTTATCTTGTGTTCTTGTCGTGTTGTCCTGTAAAGTTTTTATTGTATTCTCCTTGCTTTCCTCAATGTTTCTATTAATCGTTCTTTTTAAATTCTTTTTCAGTTAGTTCCATTACCTTTTCTTCCTCAGAAACATTTTCTGGATCTACATCTTGGTCATTATTTTTAACCATTCTCTCTTGTTTGTGTGAGCTAAAATGTCTGTTGTCTCGAGGCTTTGTGGGGTTGACCTGGTTGTGAAAACAGACAGTGCAGTTGTTGGATCCAGGAGGTAGAAAAATCTGGGGGAGCTCCTGCAGTTCATGGAAATCAGGAGATGGTTGTGGAAAGGATGTGACAGCAGAGTTCCTGACCCTGTGGGCCTTGGTGTTATCCATGCTCAGGGAACTAATTCCAGAAGTAGTTTGTGGGGGCCCTTGATGGAGCTGGTTTCAGTGTCTACTAGGACCACAGGGCAGCTGGGAGAAGGGTGACTATTTAAATGCTGGTCTGGTGGCTCTGATAGTTTGTAGGTCTGGAGCTGAGCCCACCTGAATCCAGGCACCAAAGTGGCAAAGCCAGCTCCCACCTTACACTGTGTGTCTCCCAACCACTGTGTGTCTCCCAGAGAGCAGGGTCTGTACTGAGGATGGATAAGGAAGGGTTGGCACTGATCACACTTCTGGTCAACTGGGGGAAAGTTTGGAAAAGAAGAAATCGTAACTTTTCCATCTCCGTAGTGAATTTGCTCTCACAGGCCTCCCTCCTCCACTGCCTTAGCTGATCACAAGAGAATGGAGCCACGTCTGTCCAGCTGTAAACCAGTCATCCTCCCTCTCTCCATCTCTGCTTGACTTCTCCCAGATAGCACTCCATCCACTTTTCTAACCTTTCTCCTGAAGTTCAGGGTGCCACAATTTTCATCTGTGTCTATTTTATTTGGTCTCTCATATCTTTGTTTTAAAGGGTCCATGTAGTGTATCAGCCATCTTGCTGGACGTCTGTCCTTTGATTTCTTGACTGCTGCTTCCATGAGTATTGATGTGGATCCTAGCAAAATAAAGCCTTTGACTGCTTCAGTCTTTGTCTCTGACTATTATAATGTTATATATTGGTACAATTGTGAGGATTTTTGTTTTCTTTACATTGAGGTACAATCCATACTGAAGATCTTTGATCTTCATCAGTAACTATTTCAAATCTTTTTCACTATTTATGTCTTTTATATTATCAATATTTGCTTTGTATATTTAGGTACCCAATATTGGGTACATATATGAGGGTGAGTCAAAAATTATCTATACTCTAGCTGTAGAATTTATTTCCATCAACTTTTAGAAAAAACAGGTACATTGTTTTTCGACATAACCTCCGTGCTTTTCAATTCATTTTGTCTGTCTTTCAACAAACTTTTATATTCCCTTATTGAAAAATGTTTTAGGCTGAGCTGAGAGCCACAACTGCACCACTGTCTTCACTTCTTCATCAGAGATGAATCTTTATCCTTGAAGATTTGCTTTCAAGGGACCAAACAGGTGAAAGTCTGGTGGAGCAAGATTAGAACTATAGGGAGGATACTATATATAACACCTCAAAATGAAGTTTTTGCAATGTCATCAGTATGAGCAGAGGTGTGTGTGGACGGGCATTGTCATGTAAGATCACAATGCTTCCTTGAATAGCAATCTTATGTCTTTAATTTGAAGTTTAGATTTCAGTGCTTCAGTGAGCATCTCACTGTAACAAGCACTGTTGATTGTTCAACCTTTTTCCTGATAGTGTTTCCATACTGGCTCTTGAGAATGCCAGAAAACTATAAGCATCAATTTTCCAGCTGGTTATTGGCTTTTGAACTTTTTCTTGGTTGGTTTATTGAGAGTAAACGACAGCGTATGGAATGGAACCATCCTCAGTTGCCAACCAAGATTTCTGTTTTGTTATTTTTATATGGTTTCTCATTTTTTCATTATCTTGTCAGTTTGTTCTTAGAATGTTTTCCTGAATTCTTCTAATTTTTTTTTCTGTGTTCTTGCTTTCATCTACAATTTTCTTGATAATTCTCTCAATCCATTGAAGGTACCTAGATAGGGATTTTTAAAAATTCCTTATCAGATATATCTAATACCATTTCTATCATTATATTTTGTGTTTCTGTTTTGGTCACTTGTGTGACTCACCCTGTCTTCTTTCTTCATATAAGCTGAAATTGTTTCTTGTCACTGAAACATTGTGGTATCATTGTATTTATGTTTAATTAATTGTATGCTGGTATGTTCTTAGACATTCATTACTTGTCTCTTGGTGGGTATAATAGAAACTAGAAGTATATACAGCAGTTCTATTCACTGTTAATTTATTGTTGATTGCTAATTATTGTCAATCAAGTGGGTTCTTTTAGTGTATTAATGGACCATGCAAACATTAGTCTCCACAATCCTGAGACCAGAAAGAACTAGATGGTGCCTGACTGCCACTACCTACTTCTCTGAAAGGTATCACATTAGAAAGAAGGTCCTGGATAGTGGTTTTGTGTCATGGAGTCAGTTCCGACTCATAGAGACCCTGTACAGGGTTTCCGAGGCTGTACATCTTTACGGGAGCAGAAAACCTCATCTTTCTCCCACAGAACAGCTGGTAGTTTCAAACTGCTGACCTTGCGGTTCGCAGCCTGATTCGTAACCACTACACTACCAGAGCTCCTTAGACAGTCCTGGATAGAGTGAAAAATATGGAACAAAACTCAAAATTAACAAGCATGAATATGTTATTACTAGCCCTTATACTTGTCCATGGAGTCCTGGTGTGGCGCTGTGGGCTAATGCATCAGACTGCAAAGTCGTTTGAACTGTAAGGCAGTTCAAGCTCACCAGCCACTCCTTGGAAACCCTATGTAGGATCGCTATCCTACATAGGGTTTGGAATCCACTTGACGGCACTTAACAACAACAACATACTTGTTCATGCTTTTCACTTTATTCGGGATCTTTCTTTTATGTATAGCTTTGAATTACTTTCTAGTCTATTTACTTCCATCTGTAGAAGTAGCATCAGCATTGTTTACATTTTCAGTCTGGTAGATATGAACTATCAGCTTAATGTTTTTGTAAGTGGTTTTTGTGTCTCTCGCTGCTTTCAGGATCCTCTTTTTATTTGTAGGTTTTACAAGCCTAACTATGATTTGTCTGAGTTTATTTTTGAGGGGTTCTTTGAGCTTCGTGGATTTGTAGATTCATATCCTTTATTAGACTGGGGAAATTTTTCAGTTGCTATACCTTCAAATCTTTTTTCTGTTCCTTTTATCTCTCTGGAATTCCCATCATATGTATTTAAGTCTCTTGTCACATAATTTCATTAAACCGTGCTCAGCCTTCTTGAGCCTCCATTCTTGCTCTGTAGTGTCTGTGACCTGTCTTCTAATCCACTGAATCTTCTGTGTGATTAAATCTGTTGATAACTGTTTTGTATCTATCATTAACGCTATTGTCCCTTTCAGTTGAGGTATCTATTTTTATTTGTTTGAAGCAAATAATTGTTATTTATTGATCTTTTAATTTTAAAAAAGTTTTTTTGTGAATTGGATGTGCCATTTGTGTGTTTATCTAAGGAAGAGGGAACTCTGATATAAAAATGAAATAAAAGCATATTTCATGAATGAGTAATTGTTGAGTACTGTTTCATAATACAGCAGTTACCATACTGTCCCAGAATTCTGTCACTGCTTCTTAAATTAGAATGTGTGGTGATTTCCATCTGTGACCCCAACCATGTGACTGTCTCTTCCCTCCCTGCCCATGTCACGTGATTAGCCTTTTCTTTCCTCACTTCCTCCATTCACCCCTGCCACCTTTTCTCTACCATTCTCCATTTGGCAGAGGGAGAGTAAGGAGATGACGGGAGCCCAATACTAGTCCTAAACTCCATCTCAGGAGCAGCTGTGTGGTTTTAGGCGTGTTTTAAGTTCTTGTTGTCTCAGTTCCTTGTGTAAAATTGTGATAATACTGATGATCTGTCATTGGTGTTGCAAAGATCAAATGATACAATGTATGTGAAAGCACTTCAAAAAGCACAAATGTAGATTATCATTATCCTTATTGCTGCTCCTTCCTTCCTAGATTATTTAACAAGTGACTGAAATTTTTTGTTGAGAAGCTTACTCTCAACCATGAAATGTCATTTTGGAAGCTCCCCCTGAATAAATAGGAATCTCATTAGATTACTGAGAGTCACAAAGGGGAAATGTTAAGTGAAAGAAATTGCATATGTAGAAGAAACATTTAATTTGATAAAAGAAGTATTGATCTGCCATTGTTGCATAGGATAATGGTGGGAGTATGCCCACCTAGAAAGAGCTTGGATCTCTTGAATCGTACCCCTTTAGGATCTCAGCCCTCTATGGAGAAGCCCTCTGTGAGTCTGGGCTCAGTTCTCCCATCAGAAGGGCCTGCTCTTCCTATTCCACACATTTCTCTATCCACGCCTGATAAACCCATCTCTTTTCTTCACAGGCCCCCTGGCATTGAGCAAGGGCTCAGTATTCACTCCTTACCATGAAGTCAGTGTTGATGAGAATAAACGTAAGTTTGGAGGGGCTGTGGAAGTGGGCGGTGGGCACGAGGGTGGACAGGTGCCAGCCACCTTAGGACTTGGAGAATATCCTAATCTATGGCTTTGTGCCCCTCCCTGTCATTCCTTTTTTGCTCACTTTGATCCTGTCTGCAGCCGCCACATTGTCCTGCTCCCATTCGGGTTTCTCTAGTGCTCGTGTGGAGTGGAAATTTGTTCAAGGCGACATCACCAGCCTTGTTTGCTTTAACAACAAGGTCACAGGTGAGTCACTTCACCCCTGTTCCTGACTGTCTTGTTTGTGGAGGGATCAGTGGTAGGAATTGGGATTCTAAGGAAGGGACAGAGCCTGGGGCTTAGGTCCTGGGGGAAGAAGAGGGCCCTTGTGTGCTCTGGGTGCCACCTTCACTGTCTCCTTTTCTTAACTTTCCAGCTTACTCTGTCCCTGCCCTGCTTTCTCTTTCTTGTTAGCTTCCTATAAAGACCGAGTTACATTCTCAGAGAATGGCATTTCCTTCAGTTCTGTGACCCGGAAAGACACTGGATCGTATACGTGTATGGTGTCTGAGGATGGCGGAAACAGCTATGGAGAAGTCACCATCCAGCTCCTTGTGCGTGGTATGTGCCATGTGTGTTTTGTATGGCTCTAGAACCAGTTGCTTCCATAAGCTCTTAGCAGGATCTACTAAACTTTTAGGTGCTCATTGGTAGTGAGAATGTTGCAGGTGGTATATTTATGGAATCATGTGGATCCTGAGGAGAAGGGGTGAACCCCTGTGGAAACTTACAGCAGGGGAGACAGTGATGGACAGGGTGTCATCTTAATTGGTTACTTAGATTTCAGGCAGCCTTCCTTGCATTCAGTACCGTTCTCCATCCCCAGTGCCTCCATCCAAGCCTACAGTCAACATCCCATCCTCTGCCACCATTGGGAATCGAGTGGTGCTGAGCTGCTCAGAGAAAGATGGTTCCCCACCCTCGGAATACTACTGGTTCAAGGATGGAGTACTGATGCCTACAGAACCCAAGAGAAATCGTGCCTTCAGCAACTCTTCTTATGTCCTGGATCACAAGACTGGGGAGTTGGTATGGATGGGGTGGAGGTGAGAGGTGGTGGTGGGGAGCACAGTTACAGAACTCTTGAAAGTGAGGAGGAAGAACAAGTAACTAGATGAGCTTGGAGTTGGGTTCAGGAGGCATAAAAGATGAGGCACATAATTTTTTCAAACAGGAAGCCCATTTCTTTTCTATTCTTTAGACCTTCGATCCTTTGTCGGCCGTTGATACTGGAGCATACTCTTGTCAGGCGCAGAATGGAGTTGGGTCACCTGTGAGGTCTGATGCTGTGCGCATGGAAGCTGGTAAGTTAAGGTGTGGCTTGGTCTTGGGGTCAGGCCTGGGTAGGGGAAGTGCGGAGGACGGTGTCTGCTTTTCCTCCTGCTGTTGGTTGTGCTTTTAGTATGTTGAGTGAGCATCCAGATGCCTGGTCTCTTGTTTGTGTCTTGTAGCGGAGCTGAATGTAGGGGGCATTGTGGCAGCTGTCCTTGTAACACTGATTCTCCTTGGGGTCCTGATTTTTGGCATCTGGTTTGCCTACAGCCGAGGCTATTTTGAGAGTAAGTATTTGCCCTCAAAGTTTCTCCTTTGTATCATTCCCATTCCAGGACATGATTCATGGGCCTTCTCTGAGTTTCAGGGTTTTCCTCTAGGAGAACCGCTTACCCCTGTAACATAAATCAAGTGCTGCATTACATAGTAGGTCTCCCTCTTGCTGTACAACTCATTGTCTCATTTCTTCTCTTTCAGGAGCAAAGAAAGGGTGAGTGAGATGCTGCCTTTGGGACGTGCTGAAATTGACAACATGGATACATTGGTTTGATGCTAAAATGGGCCCAGGGAAAGCAGTTGGAAGTGGAGGCAACTAGCCTAGTTGGGAGGGTTTTCCTACTAGGCTCTCTGTGTCTAGGCTTGTCCAGTTTTTCTCTGCCCATACTTTCCTACTGACCACTCCATGTTTCCCATTGAGTTCTCAGGTTTGACATATAAATTTGGTTGATAGAAGTTACTAGAAGGGCTTGGGGACTGATCATCTGTGTCTTCTGGCTTGTCTACAGGACTTCGGGTAAGAAGGTGATTTACAGTCAGCCTGCTGCTCGAAGTGATGTGAGTATACATGCCTCTGAGAAGAAGGACCTTCTAGCTGGGCTGAGGGGTTCTAGCTTGTGTTTATGTTCAGGAGTGCCAGCTAAAGAATCCTACAAAGATTGACTGAAAGTTTTTATCTTCACAGGGGGAATTCAGACAGACCTCATCATTCCTGGTGTGACCCTGGGCCAGCTCATGTTGTGTCCTCTGTGCTTGCCTTACTCAGGTGCTACCAGGCCCTGGCCCCTGGTGTGTCACAGGATGCCTTATTTGTCTTCTAGTGCCCATCAGGGGTCCTACGTTTATCTAAGTTAGGTTGTGTTTTGTTTTGGTTTTTTTAAACATAATGTTAATTTTATGCCTCTTGGTCCTTTATGCCCCCCTTTTCTTCTCTGCCCCCCACTGAGTGGCCTGAGACTTGTGTCAAGCTTTCAGCCCCGGAGTGATGCTTGGTGACTTCCTTTCCAAGTAGACAGCAAGAGTGTCCAGGCTCCCAGAAGTAAGCTGTGATCACTGTCCACTTAGTGTGGTGTGGACTTTGACTAGGGATATTGAACCTTGCTTCCAAGTTCTTTCTTCAGTACAGAGCAGTTTTAGAATGGAGGTTGAAGACTGGAGCAGCTGAAGTGGTTATTTGGTGACGACAGCATCAAGTCTTTTCTTCCTCCAGAGTATACTCTTTTCTATGTTCTCAGTGGAAGTACCAGTGGAATCCTCCTGCACCATCATCCACCTGAACACAAACAGACCATGTCTGTAGGGGAAATGGGAGCTTTTATTGGAGAGTGTAGTAAGCGTCCAGGGAGCATGAAGTGAAAAAGTTTTACAATCATTGATCTAAAGAAAACAAAGTTGGAGCTGGTAACTCAAACCGTTACCCTTCCTTTAGTTGAAGCAACTGAGCAGACCATTGTAAAGACATGTCTGTAAGGCTCTAGAGATATGTGTGAGAGTGTGTGTCTATGTGGTCTTAGCTCTGTGCTAAGATTGTATATTGGAGGGCTTCTTAGCTCTTCAGCGAGATTGCTTGTGTGTGTCTGTATGTACCTAGATGTTGCTGGAAATAAAAACTTGGTTTGTCAAAAAATTCTTGGGGTGAGTGAGGGAATGAGGTTTTTGAGGATTCCTTCTTTTTACAAGCAGGAAGATGCCTTAGAACCAACCCTACTTCTAGCAAACTGAGACTAGTCCCAGCATTCTGTCCTGCCTCCCTGTGCTGCCCTTTCCTGGTTTCTGTTTCAGGGCTGACTCTCTTGTGGCCAGGTCTTGTTGGAGGTAGGCACAAGAGAGTTCTGAAGCTGTGTTCTGGGGCTCTGCTTGCCTTGTTCTACCAAGTGAGAGGAAAAAGTGCCCACCTTCCACCTCCTGTCCAACACTGATTGATTGTTGTTGTTACGTACTGTCCAGTCAGCTCTGAATCACAGCGACCCTGTATAGGGTTTCAAAGGAGTGGCGGGTGAGTTTGGACTTTTGACCTTGTGGTCAAGGGCTTATCCTACAGCGCCACACCAGGATCTCTCTAATTCCACAGGAAAAATTGCTCCAGAGCCTGAGGCAGATAGAAGCTTATTTAGGGGAGTGAGAGTTTGAGGTTGGTAGACTGTGCTAGAGAGAACCTCTGGAGTTGAGCAGGTTACTGTCATGGCTTTCCTTTTCTCCATTTAGATCCTTCTTTGCTGTTTAACCTTCTTTTCTTCTGTCTACTACAATTTCTCAACACATTTCCAAGTCTATTTATTAACTAGCAAGAGGGAAAATTAGGGATCATCCTGCTGGGTTGATTTTGCTTATTTATTTCTGTAGAGTTTTCTAATGTGCCATGTTGCGGTAAGCTATTCCCCTATGTAGAAATTTCTATCAGAACTGAAGTGTTTTTCTTTCTTGCTTGTTATCAAGTATCTAAAGGGCGGGGGTGGGGTGGGGATGGGCAGGACAAACAAATCAAACTCTCAGTAAGGGTCATGCACCAATAAAATGAAATATTCTGGAGGGAAATCAATCAAATAACAAAAGTAGAGATTATGAAGTGGTTCGATAAGAAGGTGATGTTTAAAGTATGTTTCAGTTCTGTGGCATGGTGGGAGGACAAGGTGGGAGACATGTGGAGAAAGGCTGCAGGGAAGCAGAGGTGTGACTCATTGCTCCTGTAAGTTGAGGTGAATGGTTCCTCACCCTTGGACATGTGATGACTATGAGTCAGTTATTACCAGCCTTGGAATTTACCTCTCCAGCTTAACAGTGGCCCATTTGAGTTGGAAAAGAACTTGTCTGCTTTGTTTTAGAATGTCAAAACCAATTTTTGTAATAAATGTTTATTTTTCACATTGAGTTTGTATAAATTCTGAGGTACTATATTAAAAGGAAAATTGGGACTCTGTGATTTAGAGATTAAAAAACTACCCTATAGTCTTAATTAAGAGATTAAGGGTGTCCTTCCTTAAAGCTGCATGTTGTTGTTGTTAAGTGCCATCAAATCGGTTCTGACTCATAGCGACCCTGTAGCAAATGGTAAGCTTGAACCACCGACCTTGCAGTTCAAACAGGTTTGTAGTCTGCCTCATTAACCCACAACACCACACCAGCACTCCCTAAAGCTAAAGCTCCATAGGTACATTTTAATTTAATTCATCGCTGGCTTGTTCTTGAATGAGGATCACTGAAAGGGGAATGTCCTGTATAAAAGGGAGATTTGGAGGCATAGAGGTAGTATATGGAAATTCAATGTGAAATTGGACTTCGAACCCTCTTTTTTGCAACTTGAATGATTGCTATCCTCTATTGACTTATTTCCATGGTATTATTACAATCCTTATTTCCCAAGTAGAAAATGAGCTACAGAAATGCTAAGAAGCCTGCCCAAGCTCACACAACCAGTACTAGGAAAGTAGAAGTTAGGATCCGAGGCAGCTAGGAGAGGAGGGTTGGGTAGCCTGTACCCTGCTCCCAGTGATCCTAAATGGAAAAGGGTTCTGGAGGAGGAGTAGCTGGAGAAGTTAACTTTTTCTGTAGAGGTGGCTATGCTATAAGCAGATTAGAGCATTAAAAGTTAACGATGTCGTCCTGGGACTTCTGAAATGTAACTCACTTCAGTTTTCCATCCAAGCAAGATATACAGGATACAGTGTGATAAAGTATGATGCTTTTTGTAAGATGGAGGGTCCATGAGTGTCACCCTCTGGAATGAAGGACAAATCTTATAGCATTTTTGTCAGTGACCCAAATGAAAAACTAGTCATGCAATATACGTGGGTGGCTAGGAATTAAAAGGAACCATAAATTTCAACTGGCAGCATGAGAATTCAAGATACCTTGAGAGCTGTAATGATAAACCCAAATATATTAGAAAGTGAAATTTATTAGTAGCAATGCTTAACAGTCTACCTTTGGATCCAAAATATCGACATGTTTAAAGTAGGGAAAATGTAGAATATATTGAACTAGAGAAATGATGGTTCCTGTTTGCTCATTGCTAATGACACTGTACTCCTGTATCAAGTTCTGTTTTAGGCGCTATTACTTAAAAAGATTGTAGACAAACTGGAATATGTTCGGTGAACTCAGAAGGGACTTAAAACATGCCATATAGAAACTTATAAAATAATGCTAAACCTAGGGAATAGAAGACTTCGGCAAATCAAAAATTGTTTTGTGCCGTCGAGTCTATTCGGACCCATAATGACCCTGTATAGGGTTTCCAAGGAGAAGCTGGTGAACTCGAACCACCAACCTTGTAGTTCAAATGACTTTGCAGTCTGATGCATTAGCCCACAGCGCCACACCAGGACTCCAATAATCATCTTTGCATATTTGAAGGATTCATAAAGCCTCAAGAGAGAAAACCAGGACCGATCGATGCTCAAAGGAGACTGGTTCAGAATGTGGTTCCCTTCAGAGTTTTTCAAGATGGAATACCGTAGATCCTCTGGTTGGTGGTTGTGTGCCACCGAGTCGGTTCTGACTCAGCAACCCTGTATAGGGTTTCTGAGGCTGTAAATCTTTACAGGAGTAGAAAGCCTCATCTTTTTCCCATGGAGTGACTGATAGTTTCAAACTGCTGATCTTACAGTTAGCAGTCCAGCTCATAACTCACTATACTATTAACCTGAGGATGGCAGTTCAAACTCACCGAACAGTGAACAGTGAAAAGGCCTGCAACCTGCTTCTGTAAAAATTTCAGCAAGACAACCCACTGGAGCAGTTCTCTAAACACATGGCGATTGCCATGAGTCACAATCTACTAGATGGCAGTAGGTTTGGTGGCTATGTTTTGTATTTTTTGGTTGTGCACATGGAAGAATAACAGCTTTGAAGTCAAGCCTTTCTTTCTCTTCCATGACCTCTGACAAGTTACTTGTTACCTAACTGTAAATATAAAAATCAATCCCTAACCCAACCCCTAACACTAACCCTAGTGCTAACCATAATCCTAACACTAAACAAAAGTCCTGTTGTGTCATCCGAGTCGGTTCCGACTTATAGTGACCCTGTGTAGGGTTTCTGAGGAATAGCTGGTGAGCTTGAACTGCCAGGCAGTTCGAATTGTTTTATAGTCTGACGGATTAACCCACAGCGCCACACCAGGACTCCAAACAGTCCTAGACATAGCCTAAACCTAGCCCTAGCCCTAACCCAACTCCTTGCTCCTGTCCCTTCTCCTGCAAAAAAAAGTGAAAGGCCTCATGGGAAGTAATTACAGAGCTAATGCAAAGTCAAAGTCAATTTTAACTCAGAAGGAATATATTAGAAGATAAATATCTCTAAACATAATGGCTAACCCTGTTTTAAAACTTCAGATGCAATACCAAGTCCAGTTACTAAACATTTTTTATTGTTTTATGGTAAGCAGAGTTATTCTCCCAGTTGAACCCACTGACTTTTATGCTACTAGATTCAAATGAAACAGTTTCAATAGCAGTAAAAATAATTGTGACTTTCCAAGAAGCTTCAAGTAGAAATATATAGTAATTTATTGAGAAACAACACAACTTATTTTGACTAAATATTTAAGGAAAAAGCATTAGCTTTTTCAAAATCATGGCTGGTGAACCCAGTAAACTCTTTTTAAGCTTTTATTGTGAATTGAGTGATAGTTTACATGGCAGAACATCAGTTTTGCATTCAATCATATTTTGTTTCATTGCAATGATTACAATCCCCTTCATGCACCATTGGTTATCAATA